TCAAAGACGTGTCGTATTTGATGATCACTTATGTTTTTATTTAGCAATGTGAGTAATTTTGCAATTTATTGTTTAGGAATGTATTGTTGAGGAATGTGAGTAGTAAAATCTTGTGCTACAAGATTTTTGCATTTACATGAACTTTCACTCGTTTTTCAGAATTTGTTCCTAGAGACAGAGATCCCAATACAAAAATGAGAACATGTTTGCATAATCAGAAGGATGCAGTGCAGATGCCTAGTGACACTCTGAAAGCAAAAATGGTGCCTGGGAGAGTTCCCCGCAGATGTGCTACTGTTGCTGCCAATAAAATAAAGATAATGAGTAATCTAAAGGAAACGATTTCAGGACCAGAAAGTGTCTGGATTAGGAAGAGTAGCAGAAAACTGCCCCATCGAAATGCTTCTGCTGCGGCTAAGAAAAAATTACTGAATGTGTATAAAGAGGATGATACGAGTATAAATTCAGAGAGTGAAAAAGAGCTAGAAGATACTCATAGCAAAATGCTTTTGTTTTAGTCAGATCAGATCCTGGAAAGAAAAAGTAGTGACTATGAAAATGTGTGTGTGGAATTGAAACAGGGGCCACAGTAAACTGGCAGTTGCATTCTGCTCCTCGCTCTAAAGTTAACCCCTTGTTGGCACGTTCCGAGGAATTTTCTGAAAACCATAACCCAGAGAGTCACAGTGGGTCCCAGGAAGGCTTCCTCTCAGTGAGTTTTTGTACAGACCCTACAAAGAATTCTGAAGAGGAAATAGCTCTGTGTGTGAAGCCGATGGTTGGAGAGGCAGACATAAAAGGCTAAGGACCGCTCATAAAATTATCCCTTTTCAGAAGGAAGGGTCTTGGAGAAATTTCTTGATTCCTAAGAGGAAGAAAATACAGTTGTCCCTCCATATCCCAGGGGGTGGGGTTGGTTCCAGGACTTCCCAAAATCCACAGATGCTCAAGTCCCGTCTATAAAATGGTGTGGTATTTATATAACAGACACACATTCTCCCATATACTTTAAATCCTCTCTACTTATAATACCTAATCCAATGTAAAGGCTATGCAAATAGTTGTTATACTGTACTGTTTAGGACTAATGACAGAGAAGTCTACAAAGCAATGATGGTTGGCCTAACTACATAGTACACATCAGCAACAATGTGGCTTTTCCCCTAGTAGAGTATTCTTGAGTTGTGGTTGGTTAAAGCCCCAGATGCAGAACCCTTGGATATGGAGGGTCAACTATAATGGGAAGTGTACAGGGTCTACAGCAAAAACCTAAAGGAATAAAAAAAATTCAAAATCCCAGCCTGCTAATTTTAAGGGTTTTGCATTAGAGTATAAAAACTCAGACTCACCCGACCATGATGTCATTATTAAAATACAAAGTAGGCACATTTCACGAAGTGCCATTGAGCATATTTGACTTTTGAATGAAGCAAATATGTATTCTAGCAAGATGCAGTCCCTCCAATTCACAACCCCAAAGCCAACGAGGACTTGAGGATTTGGTAATCCGAGTTCTGAAGTAGTGTTGGAAATAGAGGGAATCCATTAATGTTTTATTTTGTTTATAATATTGGAATTCATATTGAATGATGACCACTTGATATGATTGATTCAGGGAATATATATTTTTCTATGAAACCCATGAATGTGACTCACAACTTCTTTTCCTCATTTTTACTTTCAGGTAGCAGCATTTACACAGATGCCAAAATGTGCCTCATTATGAGGCAGGTCTCAGTTTTAATAAGTTAGAAAACACAAAATACAGATCAAGATCAAAAGAGTCATATTTTTAGATGATAGAGTAACATCCTCTTATGTTTCTCTAGAGCACCTTAAGTGTTAGAACTTTACGAACACTGAGCAAATTTATTACAGTCTCATCACAACAAACTTTAATGGCAGTATGTCTGGGTTATTTCATTGTGGCTTTAAACAGGATTAGACATCTGGTTTTGATATTATAAAAAATTTCTTTGCCATGAAGTATAATTTGTTAATAGGTATTTACTGAAATGAAAATCACCAGATTAAATGAATGCACTGTCAAATCTTTAACATAGCACATGCTATTGGAAAACTGAATTATTGGTGTTTCCCATTGAAAAATATCTGTGAATATTAATAATATGATTTGCTTGTGTAAATCTGAAAAAGTAAAATATGGAAACCTAAGGGTTTCTATTCCTTTTTCGTTAAAAGATTCATCTGAAATACTGATACCAGTGTCTTGTTACTAGTGCAGGTGAGGAAGGGGAGAATTCCAAATAAATGAAATTTTTAGGTGCATGGACTTTGCTTTTTGATATCTAATGAAATTAAACCTATTTCCAGTCCCATATTTACACTTAATTTCATAGAAATGTTTTATTGGGTATATAATTAACAAATACCACAAAATGAAAATATTTGTCTCAGTTAAGATTACTTTATGTAAAAGGTTTTGACCATTTCAGTGTAATGAAAGGATTTCAATTTTGAATTTATAATTTACTGTGGTTGGGTTCATTTCTGTCAGTACCCTTCTCTGGTTTAGTATTTAATTTGAACATATATTTGCCTTTTTTTAAGTGCTCAGCCTAAACTTATTGTAACTGCATGAAATAAGCTTTTGTTTAAATCTTAACATTCTTGTAAAATGCTCTCTAAAAGGTATGCAGAATTTTAATCACGGACAAATGTATTATCATTACCCTATTTATAATTTCAATCAGCTTTTAGAAATGATTTCTTTATAATTATGAAATCAAATTGAAGATCTTAATAATAAAATTGACATTATTTTATTTAACAAAGGGGCTAGGACAAAGTGATACCAAAACCTTTTATTTTGTAATTCAGTCATTCTATAAAGCCAATTAACCCAGGAGTCTTAATGCAGTTTTAAAACATCACATTGGTAATCTTGTCTAGTCTAGCTCACTAAAGTTTCCTAAGCTCTTGCAGGATAGCAATTGGGTCTTACTGTTTATACTTGTGTTCAAATTTTGCTTTGAAGTCCAGCCTTATATTTTGCAATAATGTGTAAAACTGTTAAATATTGGTTTTATGTAAATGCTTTTGTTGATCAGTGTCTCCACATCCTAAAAGCAAGATGTTTCTAGGAACTTTCTGAGGTTTTCTTGATTGCCTCAGGAGGCTTCCCCGACCCCAAATTAGTACTTAGCTCGGGATTATTTATGGACAGCATTCCAAAATGTAAGCAATGCCATGTAGTTTCAGCCCAACTAAATCTAGGTAAATGTGTTTTTAAAATTTTTCCATTGCAATTCCGGATATTTTCACTGTTATTTTAACTATGGTACAGTTGTCCTTTTTCCTCCTGCTTGGAATAGTGCTCTGTGAATTGTCTTCCAGCAAATTTGAAAGAGAACCAATTAAACACTTTGCTTGTAAGTGAAAGGCTGTTGAAAGCGGAAGCAAATTTTGTATTAGAAATGGCCACGTTTTAAAAAAGAAGCTCATATTTTTGCAGTCTCATAGTCTTTCAGATCAGCTTGACGACCACCAGCTTTTGAAATGTGAATTCCTCCTGCAGAGTAAAGGCCTCATGTTTATACTACCCAAAGCGCTGTGTTCCTTCCTGCCCTCCCGCCCGCCTTCCCTGCCCACCATCCCGGGCGGGCGACACCCGCCTGCAAGAGAGCGCGGAGGAGCCGGGCGACTCATAACCAAAGCTCGCCCTGTCCCTCCGGAGGGAGGAGGGAGACGGAAACAGCAAGGGAGGGAGGCAGAGGGACCCACAGCCACAGCCTGGGATGGGGCTGGTGCCTACCCTTCCCCAGGAGTCCCCGCCCCGCGCCCCCTCTCATCTCAGCCTCCCAGGCCCGCCGCCGCCGGACCCCAAGGT